TAAGCTGCATTCTTTCACAGCAGGGATTAGATGTTGTACTATAAAATCCTTACGTTCTTGGGAAACATTACATTCTAAAGCATTTTCCAGCCAGTTTTCTTCCTCTTTTTCTTTTTCTTTTTAATTTTTTTTTTTTTTTTTTTTTTTTTTTTTTTTTAACTTGCAAAGAGTTAAACTGAATTGAATATGTAAAATTACTAAAATGAAAATATTATATATGTATATGTATGTATAAAATAGTTGGGTCGCCTTTGTGTCGGACTTAAAAACGCATGTAAAAACTTTTCAAGTGTGAATTGCTCTTCATTTTTTGCAGCAGACACAAAACTCGTTTCGCCTCGCGCCCATTTCGTTGCCTACTTTTGTGCGCAGCAAAATGTAAGGCAGTTGGGTGAATGGGCACGAGTCTGTGTGAGTGTGTGTGAGTGTGGGGGTGTAAGAGAGTGTATGAGACGCAGTTGTAACAAAAAGAAGCATAAAATAAAATGGCAGCGCCAGAGATGTTTTATAAAAATTTATATGAGCATAATTTGTAAGAGACAAAAAAAAAGCGAACGAAGGAAAAAATATGTATGAGATGACATGATATGTAGGGATATGCTGTGTGCCTATGTGCAGGAGCATGCCCAGAACAGACAAGCCAGCCGAGAGTGAAAGCAACAAGGAATTTCGATACAGCAGCATGCAGTACATGCACCTGGAACCAGTAACAGAAAATCAAATTTAATAAAGCTCAACTGGAATAATTGTAAAATATTCGAGGTAGTTTTTCACATTCACTTTACAGACAATATTAGAAAATAACTAGATGCTTCAAATATTTATATTACAATTAAAAATGCATCTATGTATTTCAATATCCAATTTTAAAACAAGCAACAAATTTTTGTGGAAATAGAAGTGTGTGTTTATTATCTGAGTATATGTATATGAATATATGTTTGAATTTATGCTTGCTCTCCTACTAAAGTTATGGAACAAAGTTTGTATTGTTCTAAAATTGAATTGTTTGTATACACATCGCACATCACTTTCATCTGCATAGCACACGGCATAAATTGCCTTTCTATGTGATTCTCAAAAAACGCGAGCTGGGCCAATATGTTCGATTCACGATTAAATGAAAAAAATACTTTCACGAATATTACCAACACTATAATTCTCTAAAACCTATTCTCTCTCTCTCTCTTTTTATCTCCAGTTACCTTTTCTTCTCCCAGCCTCACTTTCCCCATTTCGATATCAAAATTGTAGAAGTTGTTGTTTTGACCAACCTGTTTACATCCTTCTAATATTTTCTCGCTCTGCTTGTCATGCAATTAAGATGCAAATTGTTTGCGCTTGAAATCAAATTCCATGCTCTGGCAAAACAGAGGAGCTTCGCTTCACATTGCCATCTATCGTTGCTGTTGTTGCTGTTGCTGTGGTTGCTGCTGCTGAAATGTCGTGCAAGTTTTCTAGTGAAGTGCACTACGTATGCAATCGACACATGTGTGCAACAAAACTCGTTAACACTTGAAAAGTTTCATGGCCCTGGGCAATTGTAATACGCTCTACTTGGAACACAGCACAGTGAGCAAGGCGAAGGGTGGTGCAGTAGGAGTAGGAAATAAGGAGTAAGTAACGTAATGCTGCTAAAAAACACTTAAGCAAAATCTTGTAAGCAGAAAATAACTCAGAATGTGCAAGTGTGTGGCCTCTGGCATAAGCAGCCTGAGTTTTTGCGGGAGTAGAGCGACTGTGTGTGTGTGTGTGTGTGTGTTTGTGGGGATCACCTTGACTAGAGCTTGCCCTGAAAACAAGCAAAGTTCAAGTACGTGACAGCTGTAAGTAAAGTGTTGTCTATATACATTTAAGTGGTTCTCCTGCGGTGCTGTGCCGTGTTTGAAAATCAAACCATGAGCTTCGTGGCTTAATGGCAGTTAATTGGAAAAGCCCAACTTCAAGGGAAAGTCTCTAGCAAGTTTCATGGGAAGGACTCCAATGTAGATCGAATTGCTTAAAGAATTGTCTTCTGTGTAACAAGGTTACTTAAAAGGCGTTGTAGGCCTCGCAGATGATGGTTTGCAGCTACATTCGATCCGCGATTTGAAACATACAACATAACTTGTATATATATTAAAAAAAAAAAAACCCATAAGAAGGTTCTAGTCGAGACTGCTCGACTAGGAGATACCCTGAACCCTCCAAGTTGATATTCTAATCATTCTGCACTTTTTCTTTGCACACATGCATACACATGCATCCAGACGCACGTATAACAACGCGTTCTGCTAACGGCGCAGTAAGCAGCGACTGCGCTTGGGCTTCGCTGCAATGTGCGCTATATTATACGAATTTATTTGTCGAATAATTTAATTTCTAGGCATACAATCTTAATGTATGTTTAAATGTAATAATGTTTAAATGTATGTACATTCTAAAGCACAAGTCTTTAGTAGGTGAAATGCGTTTTTTACAAATTTGGGGCGAAGGGGGCGTGGTATCGAAAATCTGTAAATTACAAAATGTTTGTATTCATCATATGCATATACACAGTAAATCTGAAGTCTCTAGGATTAATAGTATTCCAATGAGACTGAAAAAAACAAAATAAATTTTTCGATTATCCTCGATAAAAAAGTTATCAGATTATTTATCGAAAAGATAAGACAAACTCGTACTGCGTATGGTACACACGAGTATGCATGCAAAATTTTCCTTTTAATATTTGAAAAAAAAAACTCTTTCCCGCAATGTCTTAAGTTAAGAGACCATGCTTTCAGATAATTCAAACAGCTGCAATGGAAGGGAAACATTTCAGCATATATAAAATTAATAAAATTAGGAACTCGTCTCATAGATATAAATATTGTTATTTCGGTTGGGGAACTTTTATGATATCCTGTAAGCAGTTCGATCTTTACTGGCTGCGTGCTTGGGAACAGTTGTGAAAGTTCTTCGGTCACAGGAAATAGACAGTTGAATTGTCGCGGAACTTTTTACGAGCTGCCTCCCGATTACCAGCTAGCGGACTCATCTTTATGCCAGGCCTGAGGTCTGAACTTGATGTCAAATGTAAATGTCAAACAGACAAGGAGGCAGAGCACTGGTGCTTCCGTTGGACTGTCTGTCGGTCTGGCTTGTGTCTGCTACCACTAATTTCATTGACTTGCACACACACACAAGCACATCGAGACTAGAGAGAGCTGCACGCACACGCCAGAAGGGACACGCACGCACTGCTCAAAGTTGAGCTGCTGCAGCGCGGAGGAGAAGTCATCTCTCAAGTTGATTGCCATCAACTGTGAGTGTAGCCAACTTTGCCTTGGCAATGCTTATAATTAGAAACTTTATTATTTGTTTAACTTGGCCCGCAGCTGCTGCATAATTGACACACGCGTGGCAAACTTTCGCTGCAGACTTGCCACATAAACTGCCAAAAATGTGCAGCAATTATCGATGAGTGAAGTAAAGGAGTGATAAAGCCACGACAATGAGAATGAGAGTGAGATAGGGATAATGAGAGTGAGAGAGGGAGGGTGAGGTGGACAGAGATATGAATAGCCGACAGTTCGACAGCCACTGGTTGAGCAAAGCACTTCCCAAAGCCACTTTAAAGATTCTTTTAAAATGTAAATTTAATGATTAAACTTTGATGAGACCGGCGCACGTTTGCTAATTTGCAAATTCATGAATATAAATTGCTTTTCAAATGCCATATAAAATAATCAAATATGCAAATTTTTGCCCGTATGCCCGTATGCGTAACGTAACCAACACCCATAACAATCCCATACACAAACACACAAACTCCCACACACACACACATTCACTTTCACACCAAAAAAATATTATTAGAATTGTTTAATACCGACACAAGCTGCAGCTGCATGGGACACCCTCACACAATGCTATTCTGACAAACTCCTACAGAGACCAGCTGGACGCCAGATCCTTTTTTGGATGGCAACAGTTGCTCAGCTCTCGCCAGGCTCCCAGGCTGCTGTAAACAATGACCGGCAGAGCCCAAAGTCAAATGCAGTTAAGGGACATGGACAAGCCGCAAGCTGCACAACAGAACCGAAAACCAAAGCCAAGTGTCCAACACTGAACAACAGTTCGCACACTGAAGACGGGACAGTCGAAAAGTTAAATCGAACCTATTATGCTCTATAAGTTTCCAACAAATACTTCCACATCCCGCAGATACTTTTGTTACCACAAATGGTCATGTGGTCATGGGGAATTCGTTACTTTACAAACTGTTTTGTTCCTTAAAATATTTGAGAACGTTGAAGATAATTTAGCTCGATAAATAGCAAAGATAGTTTTTGTATGGCAAAGATGGATTTTCAAATGGAAATGGCTTATGTATTTTTATATACGTTTGTATTTCATAAATTTGGCTTTGTTAAACTATGGCAGAAAAAGTTTTTGATTCCTTCTGTAAATAAATATTTAAATATAGCATATAAATATAAATACATCCTAAAGATTCTACTTGATTCAATTAATATATAATAAACGACAGATACTTTCAAGAATAATAAAAAATTATTTTCCATTTCAGAAATATCAAAGTTAGCTTTGTATCTTATAAATACCCTTACAGTATAATATGTTAGTAAATATATCTATATATATAATAGTTTACAATTTTTTATAGTCTCTGAGTACTTAGAATTGTCGCATCTAGAGATATACAAATTAAATATATTTATATATAGATACAGATATAGATACTTCTCAATCAAATACAGATTTATTTATCTATCTATTTATTAGACTACTTCATTAAAAATATTAGAGATACTTCTCAATAAAATTAAAATTTATTTATTTATCAATTCAATTAAATTTATCAATTATCAATTAAAAACTTAAAACTTGAGCTCTGTCTCTTAAGTCCTTATGCTCAACAAATTCAAAGAACTTTTGCGATTCGTTCGAATAACTTTTGTATCGTGCTTAAGAACAGCTTCTACTATACCCTCTTTTTCTGCTTCATTGCCTACTAGGTAAAATAACCAAAAACTGAAGTTCTTTCTACATGTATTGTTAAGCTGCTAGATGGGAACTGAGAGCTGAAAGCTGGGAAATGGCAGCTGGGAGATAGGAGTTGGGAGTTGGGAGCTGGAAGTTGGAGCTGGGAGCTGGCAGCCCGGTTAGTTTCGCATGCAAATGGCATATCAAAAAGTGCAAAAGGATTGCGTAAAATCAACGCGACATGCGGCAGGACAAATAAAGTGCATAAATTTATCAAAAATGACGGAAAGGAAGTAAAAGAGAGAGAGATAGATGAAGAGGGAGAGAGAGAGAAAGACTTTGGTCAATATGTGGCACACGACATGGACGTGGCGACGTGGACAATCGATGCTGATGATGATTAGATTGCTGATGCTGCAGGCAAAAGTTGAAGCTTAATACGGGGTTGGCTCAAGTGGACATATTATAACGGTTATATGCAAGCGACAGGCGCGGAGCGGAGCGGACTCGGCATTAGCATACGATATGTGGGCAGTCGGGCGATTGGCCATGTTGTTGGCTTATGCACATCTCTGCTGCCTGCCATGCAGCGTTTCAAACGATCAAAGTCTCAAATATGCAGACACGCTGGAATTTTGTTGTTGTGGAGATACATCGAGTTGTTGTAACTGCTGTTGTTGTTGTTGCTGTTGCTGCAGCTGCATTTGTTGCTGCTGTTGTCTAGTTAACCCCATATAAAGGCCATATTACTATATTTTGTTCACTCCGTGTATGTGTCTGTGTGTGTGTCTATGTGTCTGTGCTTGAGTGGGTGTCAATTACAGAAACGCTTTTGAACGTGTAAACAACAATAGGAGTTGGGTGGCGGAACAAGGAACTCAAAGAGTATACAGAAAGAATACTTTATAGTCGAATCTACTGTTGAGGACTTAAAGCTTATGCATATAATTGAATATTGAGAGCATATAAATTGTCACGTTGCGTAATGATAATTTCTAAAAAGTTTGCAATTTCAGTTTTTCTGCTTTTATCGCAGAACAAAACAATTCAGCCATTGTGAAAATATTCAACTAGGGCATTCGCAGTGCCTCGCTATAATTTAATTAAAATATTATGAATGCATAATGTAATTAAAAAGAAGGAATTAGTTACGATTTTTAGCCTACTAAATTATTGAACAATTTATTTGCGTGCTCCAAAATTAAATGTAAATACAACAAGTTTTCGCCCAATTTTCCTCAATTCATTTCCCAATTTCTAAAGCTTCATTATGCATGCTCTTCGATATGCAGTTCATTAGTTACCTTTACACACACACACCCACCCACACACACACACACACACACGCAGCTAAACTGTTGTGAGCGATTGCAATTTGTGGGGCTTTAACTTTAATGAAATTATGTTTGCAGCTTTGCATACGATTTGCCTTTTGGCTTTTGGCTGCAGATGCGAATGCGGATGCGGATGCGACTGCGGATGCGGTTGCATTGTCGGCATCCGATTTGGGATCGGCAATGAAAATTTATACCATATGCTTAAAGTGCTTAACAATGCAAACGATTCACAATGCGGCCAAATTTGTTGTGGAATCATCAAATTTAATTTCTAAACAAATTAATGTTGACAAAAGTTGGCGAAATGCAATTTGCGCAAATAAGTCGTAATTTGGTCAGGCAAATTGCACAAAATACGCCAAGATATGTGTGCTTAGTCCACACACGCCCATACTGTATAGAATGTATTGTGAATTTATTGCCAGAGCGAGATGGGGCGCGTGCTGTGCGAGCGAGAGGTATCAACTACAGTTGCAGCTGCTGATTTGTCGCTGCCAGCAATTTCACGTTCATTCACCACTGCGCGTTACGGCCATGCAGCAACAACAACAATGACAAGTATAACAACAACTGACATAAGGACATGGCATTGCATTCCCATCATCCGGCCAAATCATATGCAAATGCATGCGTATGACATTTCGGTTCGAATTTTATTGCCCGCCCGGTTGCTAAATTATTTAGAGCCTGATTCCTGCTGCCATGACGAGTCATGCATTTTGAGTTTAGCCCACACCAACACTCATACACGCACACACACACACACACACATGCATACACTTGGTAAGTCTTAGTTGCTCTGTCGTCTTTCAATTTGACATAAAACCTTTTTGGGCTTTTGCTCATATGACATTTTATGCAAAGTGCTCGCGTGTGTGTGTGTATGTTTGCGTGCGTGTGCGTGCCTGTACGTGGGCGTATTTCACGCCTTTTGCCACCGCACATCAAAATAAGCACAGGCCAAAGTGCCACCCAACCACCCGCAACAAATGAGCCGAATGTCTTCGTCTTTTATGTGCCACGCAGGCGAGCGTAAAAAAACAAAACAACGAAGAAGGTAAAACGAGAAATTCATTAAATTTCAAATCCTTTTTTGGGTATCGTCAGAAGTCGCAAAAGCTTTTATTAGATTGTGCCCAAAAACAAATTCAATACACATACCCATGCCTGTGCATGTGTGCGCCGTAAAACCAAACCATTCCGTTGGCTCAGCTCATTATATCGATGTGCCTGATCGAATGGACGGGATGTAATTTTGAAAGGATACGTCGATTAGCTAAGTGGATTTTAAGCAGGGCAAACAGAATATACGAAGTGGTTGCTACTCTCTCGAATTATTACATTTGAGATTCTGATTAACACTCAGTTAACCAACACTGACAGTAAACTGAATGCCTCACTTCTTTTATAATGGAAAGATTGGAAAGAAATGCGAATAGCTGCAAGCTGATTCGTATGCAGTTAAGCAACACTGGCTAAGGGTAAAAAACTGAAGAGCTGTAAGCTACACTTCACCCTTACGGAAAATGTAATGAATAATTGGAAAAAGAAAGCCGATTAGGTAGATGGACATGAGAAATTCCGTAATGAAATAAGAACAAAGGCATTAGTGAATCTGATTCCCACTTAGTTAACCAACACTGGCTGTGAGCAAAAAACTCTAAAGCTCAGAGCTACGTCCCAATTGGAACTAGAAATCTGATTGAAGTAGATAAGTGGCGTTTACTAAATGGATTCATAACCAACACTGGCTGTGGACTAACTCGAGCACTCAAATGAATAAGTACTGAGAGCCGAATAACTGAGGGAATTAAAATGTAAGGAACTAGGTACAGATTCATTAAACCAACAGCTAAGCAAGCAAGGAATTATTTTACTCTCCATTGAAATTGTAATGAAAAATTGACAGTAGAAATCCGATATACTTTAATTATTGGTTACATTAACGAAACGGATTCATAGCCAACACTGGACTAAGGAGATCTTAACTGGAAACCTGAAAGCTACACATATTTTATGAAAAGCGGAATTGAAAGCAGAGAGCCGAATAATTATGTAGATTTAAAACAGTATGGAATTATAAAAGAATGGATTCATAAACAAAACTGATGCGTAGTGCACCCAAAGTGATCCATAAACAAAATTTAAATTCGAGCTATAAACAGTTGATATCCAACATATTTGAAGCAAGGCTCACATTAACGAGACGGACTCACACTCGTTTATTTATAATGACTGCAAGTCTATTTAAAATCTTATCTGCAAACTGCTGTCCTCACACGCAGTCCAGTTCATGCTTTTCAAATAAACATGACAGCTTTTTTTTAATGAATTCAATACGCTTGATTGCAATCTGCTTTTAATTATGAAAAATGTTTGTCTAGAACATTTGAAGTATTCAACTGCTTATCTGATGTGCATTTGCTCAAAAGCTGACACAGTCGCCAGCTTCGGACTATTCATAACTACGAATGTGCGAGTGAGCCTGTATGTGTGTGTGTGTAAGTTCTGTGCCAGACATTCTCACATACATGTGTGTGCGTGTGTGCGTTATAAAAGGCTCGTTAGTTAACTGACGTGGAAATTTTTAGACGGTAAAATGTGAGATATGGCTAAGAGAGAGAAAATAAAAAGCAGAAAAGAGCATGGAGCTCAACTCAGCAGAGGAGATAAGAAAATTTATGTGCGCATAAAAGGCAACAGTTTTGGTATTTTTTTAATACCAGCTGCAGACATTGTTGCAGCTTTAAAAATGAGAAGCAAAAAGTTGAAGGATGAGCAGCAAATACTCAATTTACATAGAGATGGCCTTTCCGAAATGTAATTAAAATGGGCCAAACAAGCAAGCGACTGTCAAAAGTCAGTAGCTGAGGGAACAGTTGACGTCCATTGTCCATTTGACTGTCCGGCCGTCCACACGTCCAGCTGCCCGCAAATTGACAGCTGGGCATGGGCATAGACCATAGACCATAGGCAAGGATGGGCACATACACAGAGAGTGAGAGAGAAACACATACGTTCGCACACAATAATTTACTACGTAATGGACAGAGGACTCAGACAGATGCTAGACAACAGCTCCAGTTGCTGCCGTGCTGTTCATTAACACAAACATAAGCTGCCAGACTACAGGCTACTGCAGGCAGGCGGGCAGCCTTACAGTGGGTAAGTTATGGCTCGAAACGGTGTCTGGGTACATCATAAATGCGGCAGGATACATCAGCCAGCGAGGCTGAGAGAGATCATATTTCCAAAGTTCAAGCTGCATTTCGAATGCTATTAAAATCGCTTTCAATAATGAGACGAGCCTCTGCAGCGTGAGTGTGTGTATGTATGTGTGTGTGTGTGTGTGTGGCATTGTTGGAAGTTTGTGCAACAAATTAGTGCCAAGTTGGCACTTAGTTTGCCTCATCGGCTCACACAAGGCCAGGCAAATATCCGGTGCGGAAATTGCAGCGAGACACGTGATCAAGGAACAGGCATGCACCAAGCCGAGCAGCCAAAGGGACGAGACGCGTTCTGGACAGACAGACAGACAGGCAGAGAGACAGACACATAGACAGACTATCACTATGCATGGCTCCGCTGTCTATGAGTTCCGCTTGCCAGACATATAAATCTTCATTTTGCTTCAACTTTGCACCGCAAGTTTTGTGGCCCCAGCGAAAAGTTAACTTCGAGCAGACACCAAATTAACAGCTGCTGCTGCTCCTCTAATTGTTGTTGTTGCTGGCGGGTTGTATAAATAGAAATTTTTACTTCTGCTACTATTCCTTTTTACTAGTGCAGTTGCAATTGTGTCTACTGCTTTTTGTAGTTCTGCTGCAATTGTTGTTGCTGCCGATGTTGATGTTCGCATAGCTCTCGTTGATGTTGCTGTTGTTTGTGCCACTGCTACAGCTTCTGTTATAACTGTTGCTGTTACTGTTGGTGTTGTTGCTGTTGGCGTTATTGCTGCTGTTATTGTGGCTGCTGCCAATGCCGTTGCTTTCAAAATTGCTGTTCGTTTCGCTGTAGGCGATACCCTTGCTCAAACTGTTACTGTTAATGTTACTGTTGTTGATACTGTTTCTGTTGCTAGTATTGCTGTTACTGTTATGTTGGTATTCATGTTGCTATTGTTGTATCTTTTCCACTACTGTTACCATTGCTGCTGTTATTCCTGTAGCTGATTCACCTGCTGTTACTGCTGCTCTTCGAGAGAAACAGTAACACTCTTTAAACAACTGTTGTTGCTAATGTTACTGCTGTTGCTGTTACTGTTGATATTATTTATGTTAATATTGTTGTTACCATAGCTGTTGTTATTCCTGTTGTTCTTCTGTTGCTGTAGTTCTCAAGTTGTTGTGTTATTTATGTAGCAGTAGATGTTGGTGTGTATATATCTGTATTATTTCTGTTGCTGTACTGTTACTGTTTCTAATGCTGTAGCTGTTGCTGTTACTACTTTTTATTCAAATTGTTGATTTTCCAGTATCTTATACAGCAGATTCTGATGCCGCTATAATGATGTTATTGTGTCTGCTACTTTTGTTCTATCTGCTAATACTACTAGTGATGTTGCTGCATTTTGTTTTTATACCCTGAACCCATTGAAAATGGGAAATCAGGGTATAATGGTTTT